GGAGTCCCTTTTCACAGAGAAATAAATGAGGAGGCCCCTCTAATATACTGCAGCATTTACCCTGAGAGAATGAGAGCCGGGTGTACATGCACATAATTTAACATACCTAAAAACCTCTCTTACCATCACACTCCTTCATCTAAACACGCATTTATTTTTCTGGGTTTTGGTCCAAACACTGCCTGCAATTTCCACCAGTAATAACTGTTTTAAAAAATCCAGGTTTCCATGTGAATGAACTGATAAATTGTAACCCAGATTTTTTATAAAATTAGCAAAATAAATGCAGACGGTTACTTTGTAATCTCATGTTTCTATCTATCAGAATTGGTTGATCAAGATAAGCTCAAAGTGGCTCCATACATTTATTAGAAAACGATTGAACTAGTGTAGAAAACAGAATGCAACAAGGTTAAGTACTTGAAGGAGCGCCAATCAAACCTTGAGACGAGAAATACATATATGATGCATAATGTTTACTTTTAAAGACTATCATACATGAGAGTAACAAATGCGTCACTTCCGGGCAAAGAGTACGGCTCCGCCCACTTTTGGGGGAAAACAACGCTGTCATTTGAATGCAATTCAAATTCTGAAGTTTTGGCTAATCCGATCAGAAATGTAAGAAAACTGTGGATTTTTGGATCTTCAAAGAGCCCGATTCCAATGGCCAGACAGGCAAACAATTACATTAAGCCATTCGAAATCGACGACCAGGCTCGATATATGGTTAAATATATCAGTAGGCTATCGATTTCTTTCATCGAGTCACTTTATGGCCCCGCCCACTTTTGGGGGAAACAACGCTATCATTTGAACGGCGATCAAGCCTGAAGTGACGGAGCTCTTCTTTACTTTCCTTTCTTCTTAGAGGAAGTACAGAAACACTGAACTCTGGATTTGTTTTAATGTTTGAGGAGCAATAAACGACACAGCAGCTTTTTGGCATGATACAACTATTATTTTCTGCCTCGCTCATGAGAGGAACAGCTGGAGAAATTACAGCCTCGCCTGCTGCTTTTAATTCAACCATATATCGAGCCCGATCGTCGATTTCAAATGATTTAATGTAATTGTTTGCCTGACTGGCCATCGTAACCGGGCTCTTTGAAGATCCAAAAATCCACGGTTTTAAACACCTTTTGATCGGATTGGCAAAAACTTCAGAATTTGTATTCACCGCCATTCAAATGACAACGTTGTTTTCCCCGGGGCCGTAACTTTTGCCCGGAAGTGACGTGGATGTTACCCTCATCTATAGGCTAATAGATATTGTACTACAAACATTCTGGAGGCTAATCCTTTTAGATGATGGTGCCAATGCTTTAATTATGTCATGTGGGTTTTTAGACTCTTAAATACTGTTCTCGTCAACATTCATATTTAATTGAGACTGCAAAACTCTGGGAAGCCCTTCAAGGTATTTCAACACTTTAATTTATTGGCAATGCTAACAAAAATACAGTGCTATACTGACCATGTTATATTGTGACATTACATAGCTTTCCTTAAACTAAACTGTATTTGACTTATCGATGCATTTAACTGCTTTAGTTTGAACTTGATCTGAGTTTTGCTGCGTGAAGTTACAGCGACCTGATTTCTCTCTCCGTTAGCTGTGAATATTAAAGGATTATCTGCATATTGGGTTGTTTGAGAGTGTTACTACCAGCATCAATGGTAGTATGACTATATAATGATGTTACCACCCACATCCAAGCCTTTTCTAGAGGGCACTGTCCTCGATTATGATTGGACCAAGGCCTTATGGTACAAAACACAAGGTGAAGAAGTTGTATTAAACTCCTCATTCAGCAGATTTTCATTTTGAATACGTTCCTGCACTGATGCTTGCGACCTGCTCTCATCTTCTCTGTCTCTCTCTGTCCAACACTGCATGGCTTCAGCCTGCTGACTGTACAAACACTTCTCTCCAATATTTCTTTCTCTGTTCTTTCAGTCAATGTCTCTTTTGTGTTTGTGCGTTTTCCCTAAACCCTCAACTTATGGGACGTTGCTATTTCTCTGATATGTCCTGTTGTGATTTCTCTGTTTGTATTTCAGTTTTTCTAATGTGTAACTGTAAAGATATGTACTGTCTATGACTGCATCGAGATGTCCTTAGTTACTGAAATCCTTAATTGCCAAATACCCTTGAAAAACGACTTAATCATTTAATCTCCACAGTAAAAAGGTTTCAGGTTTCTGGCCCTAGCATAATGAAAAATCAAATCGATATACCAAATAATTTTCCTATGGAATATGGGTTTCATAATCAGCTTGTGTCTGAAACCTTAACCCTTATGTTGTGTTCGGGTCTCCTGTGAACCGTTTCAAGTTAAAAATATAATAACTATGCCTTGGTCGGAACGAGGCTTCATGATATCCTCCACAACAGCTATATAAAAACTACAAAACAGATTTTGACCTTTTTTGCCAAGTCTGAAGGTCTCTAAAAAAAAAGTGTATAATTTGGTGTTCGGGTCTGGGGACCGTTGTGACGAAAAGGGAGCCGAGCCAGAAGGCAAAGCTCTCTGTCTACCGGGCCATTTTCGTTCCTACCCTCACCTATGGTCATGAAGGATGGGTCATGACTCATGACCGAAAGAACGAGATCGCGGATACAAGCGGCCGAGATGGGTTTTCTCCGCAGGGTGGCTGGCGTCTCCCTTAGGGATAAGGTGAGAAGTTCGGTCATCAGGGAGGGACTCGGAGTTGAGCCGCTCCTCCTTCGCGTCGAAAGGAGCCAGTTGAGGTGGTTCGGGCACCTAGTTAGGATGCCACCTGGGCGCCTCCCTAGGGAGGTGTTCCAGGCACGTCCAGCTGGGAAGAGACCAAGGGGTAGACCTAGGACCAGGTGGAGGGATTATATCTCTTCGCTGGCCTGGGAGCGCCTTGGGATCCCCCAGTCAGAGCTGGTTGATGTCGCCAGGGAAAAGAAAGTTTGGGGCTCTCTGCTGGAACTGCTACCCCCGCGACCCGACCACGGATAAGCGGGAGAAGATGGATGGATGGTCTGGGGAGACCCAGCAGAATTGTTTTGGGTGACTCGGGGTAACATTAGGCCCAATCAAGATTCATCTTTGACTTTAGACACCCCTCCCCCACCCCCTTCATCCACTGTAACAATATTTTTTTCGCAACATGCACCTGGTCTCGTATTACACCTATTGATGTAGGTTTGGAGGGAAATCTTACATAGCTTATTGCCAACTTTAGCGGAAGCAATGGATAATAATATATAAACTTAACGCAAAAAGCAAGGCAATTTGTGTTTGGTAGATTATTCCTATGTTGTAATAATGCTTTTTGGCAACAAACGTATACCGTTGGAAAGCCTGTTTTCTTACCCTTCCAATGGTACCACATTTGTGAGGAACAAGCATTTGTGGGATGAGCAGCAGAGCTGAGTGTGTGGGGTGCGCCCATGAAAAATGTGAGAAATCTCCTCTGCCAATGCCAAACTGCTGACTCTAGTTTGGTGGATTGGATGATTGAAGTCTGATAAATGAACACATATTGGCACCAATTGATTGATTAATAATTGATTGATTTAACAAGCAGCCTCAGTAGCGTGTGGAAGAACCATACACAGCCACAACAGCCTACTTTTTCTTTGATTTGGACTTTCTGCATGTTATCTTTCCTGCAGGGTCTGTTGCTGATTTTGCCATAGTTGTGTATGTAAACAACACTGTATATGCAATATGTATTAACTTATTACATCCTTACTTGATAACTATATCTTTTCCATGATACATGTCTTTTTAGTTTCTTTTCTTGTGTGTTTCTTGTTAATACATTTTCTTCTTCCCTGCTGCCTGACTGCGTATCTCTACTTTCTGTTTTGTTTAATGTGATTATATATTCCTAACCTGGTCTTTCCTTCTTGCCCATTTCTCTCCTTCTCTTCCTTTGCAACCTTCTGTAGCTGCCACAGCCAACACCAGCACTCTTCCCACTGTTACCACTGCCCCCCCTGCTGCTTTTCATAACATCCCCTCAGTCAACGAAGGTACAGACTGAACTGACGGGTAGCACTTAAGAAAAACTCTAAGGGCCATTCTCTCTTTTCCAAGATCTTCCTTCTACATCCTTTCCTTAGCTCTTTCCATTTGTCTCTTTGCCATTTTTGTTGTAAATGCTTTCACTTTTCATTCCTATTTACTTAGTTCTCGCTCTTTCTGTCTCCCTTGATGCCATCACAGTTCTTCACTTCCTCTTACTGTACTACTCAGTTTTTTCCTGCTCATCTCTTGAGTCTTGCTCCCTATTTTATTGAACAAGTCTTGCTTTTATAACTGCAGCAAATGTTAGGCTTTCATCTCCGGTGTCTTTTTTGCAGTGTCCTTGTCTTGTTAAAGAACCCTGTGTTTCTCTGTCTGTCCATCATAGCTGAGTTCAGTCCACTTTCAATTCCTTCAGATAAAGACATTCTCAAAAGTAGAATGCTGCCAGACTTGACGCAAAAACGTGTTCAAGTTCTTTAAATGGAAAACCGAACCATTTTGATCATTGGAAGTTAAACCAGTGTTTCCTGGCATATTTCTATATATAAAGAAAACTATATAAAAGGGTAGCAAACTATTCACAACAGCAACCAGACAACAAACTCAAATCAAAGGTGAAAACAAATATCCACAAGTTTTCTAGTGCAGCAAAAATTGGCGAGATAAAGTGCGGTGTCAAAAGCAAACAAGTCGACTTTTTTGAACTGATGGAAGTGAGAGTTCATTGACAACGTTCCTTATGCCCTTTTTTGTATAATTGTTGGCAGAATTGGGCAACCCTGTCCTGTGTCTTCTGTCTCTGTCTGTCTGAATGTCCATCTGTCCCGATGGTTCAGTGTCTCTATGCTCACTGTTTGCATGCTTGCTATTTCCATCTGATGGAATGTGGAGTGTGACTCTGGAGGGGGACAAAAGTCAACGAAAACTATTTTTAAAAAGACCAAATCCATAAAAATCTGGTTTGTGCCGAACGTCCATCTGACAGTGTGCTACTGAATTTTGAATATGTTGCAAAAGTTGTGTTTGAAGCTATGTAAACTTAAACAAATGTATTGTAAATGAACTTAAGTGTTCATTGTAGCTCCATGGCTGAAGTCTTTCTCCCTCTCATGGCCTAATGCCGTTTTCTCTTTTTTAAACGGATATAACAAAAACATGTTTCTGTTTTTCTAACCGGGTGTTAACACAGAGACCGAAATACTATGAACAACCTGAATGTCGCAAAAGAGAACATACAGCAATTTAGGATTATTTTAATTTAGTTTTTAGTTGAATACAGGAAAACAGCAAGCATGCACACAGAGACTCATTCCTTTTAATATTAAGAACCAACCTCTAATGTTATGTTATAGTAAATGGCAACTATAGCAAATATGTCAAGTTTTTACATAAGCACTGCCCTGCAGAAACCTTATTATTCAAATTGAAAACTTCTCCTACTGCCACTTACTTGTTTCAACCCAAAGTGCCCTATTTGTCATGTAACTTCACACATGTCCTAATTGTTTTAAACCACACCACCTAATCTGAAAAAACATCAGATGTATATCCAAATGATCACATCAAAGTTAAGTCTGATCAAATGTTGATGCAGGTTCTCCCATTTCATATTATCATTATGACCCAACGTGTATTCAAGAGCTGAAGAAATAACAGCAGAGGAACTTCCTGTGTTAGCATTTGGGCTAACTGGATTTCTGTTCTTCCCCCAGCATGGGTTTGCAAGTGTCAATGGGATGTACAAACTTTGAATTTGAGGTTTCTGCAAGACAGTGAATGTATCTATGTGAATAGAAGTTGACTGATTATTATTTTCTGATTGTGCATAATAAGACAGTTTGATTATGGTCTAAGACAGACTAACATTTTTATTTTTGTGAAATGCATCCCTGTATTGTTCCTGTATATTGCAATGGCGGAGGTAAGTCTACGTAGTGCCGTTGGCAAAGAAATCTGGATGGAATTTCTTTCCAGCTTGAAAGCTGTATACTGTCCATTCAAGTGCATTGTTCAAAGATGCATCTTCTCTGGAAACCATATATTAAACCAATATATGTGAGTAAGGTGCTTGGTTCATGTGGAGTATCAGCGAGTAAACATTTAAGTCCATTTGTCGTCACAGACGTGTTAAACCTGGTGTACATGTCTTACTGGTTGGTGTTAAATATAAATATATGCCATCATTGTGGCTGATTCAGCGAGATTTGAGGCCTTTTAAAGCGATACCAAGACATTTTGAATGACAGTTTTAACACCAGTCACTCGTGTTATTGCTGAGAAAATGATCTTTCTAACATAATCTATAAACCTACAATTATTTTTAAGTAAACTCCTCCACACATGAAATACAAAAACACACAAGTTCATCATGCTAAGGTGTCGCTATGAGGCTTTGGATCAGTCTGCAGTGCTGTATATCTGTTGTTTACCTGGTCGAATGCCATCAAACATACTCTGGTTAGCAAAAATCATAACTTTGCTCTAATAGAGACTGCAAATATTAGCCGATAATATTCCCGTCCTGTTGTTAGTGAGACTTGTATAAGTAAGAAGGATGTTTGTGAGTGTGAGAAACTCTCTGCTGTCATATGAAGCATTTGTTTTAGTCCTGAAGGATATTTGTTACACTCTCTGCAGTGTGTAATGGTAAAACTTGTCCAAAAAAAAAAGTATGAAATCAGGTGGTTTATCTAACACTTCAAAACATTTTGCACCATATAACTGCTGACCAGACCAATTTCGACATTTCTAGTCCTCTGATGCTCCTCTGCTTGTACACAAAATCAGAAATATTCATTTGGTCGGCTTTAATACATCATCACCAAATTGTTTGATCTGTCCCAACACTTTCATATAACCTATAAATACAATTAAAAGAAAATGTGTTTTTATGTGACAGCAGTGAGATGTGTGAATGAGCTGATAAGAGTCCTTTGAATTGTATATGTGTTGTGTCTCCTCTGACTGTGTGTGTGTGTGTGTATGTGTGCAGGTTGGAGCCAGCTAGCAGCCATGCACTGTGTGATGCTCCCTGACCTCCTTGGACTGGACAAGTTCATACCTCCTCTGCTGGAGATGTTGGCGAGAAGATGGCAGGACCGCTGTCTGGAGGTAACAGACACACACACACACACGCACGCACACACACACACACAAGCCGACAATAATATCAAGCAACCCCATTTTGAAAGAAACGTTAGCCGTATTGTTCTTTTTCTAATAATAGGATAACGGATAATTCATATGACTTATTTGAAATGTTGCCAAGTTGGATATATCGGTTCCACCTTCCATGCAAGAAATTAACCATATTTGTTCACTTTTGTTAAAATAAAAATGAATAACATTTAAAAAATGATATAGCATGAGCTTCAACATGGCTATTCACCTAATGACCCTGTATAGAAGTAAAACAAAAATGCATAACCTTACCCTATTTTCCGTTTTAGGTGCGTGAAGCAGCTCAAGCTCTCTTACTGGCTGAGTTGAGGAGGATTGGCCAATCAGGTCGTAAAGACACCATTGACTTGTGGGCTCCATACCTGCCTCAGTATGTGGACACTGTCAGCTCCCGTAAGTACCCAACACTGCCATATAACTCAAAGAATGATAGAAAGATCTGATTGGTTTTGGCTCCTTTTAGTTGCGGATGTACAGCTTGAACAGGAGGGGGCCGAGCACACAGCCCTGGGGAACCCCAGTTTTGAACACAAGAGTAGAGGCTGTGTGGCCACCAAACCAAACTGAGTGATAGCTCTTTGTGAGAAATTCCAATATACAGTGGTCAAAGTGGTCTTTAAGCCATAAGTGGTAGGTTTAATACAAAATATTGTGTGGGAGAAATGTGTTGAAAGTTGAGCGGAAATCAACAAAAAGCATTTTGAAGAAGGTGTTGTTATTTTACAGACGTGGGAGTACTAAGTGGAGGGCAATTGAGACTGCATCATCTGTGGATATGAGGAAACAAATACAAGATATGTGAAAGAAGTTTGTGAACGCATCATTAGCAATGAAACAGGAAGTTGTCTTTTAGGGATGATAAACTTCTTTATGAAAAAGCTCTTTTAGGAATGACAGACTGGAAAAAAAAACCCAAAAAGTGTAGTTCCGTTACCATTCACCATGGAAAACGCACAAAACTTGGCGTAACCATTAACATAACCCACATATATTCACTGTTACAATTTCCCTGCTTTTGTATTGTAAGGGGACTCATTAGCAACTGCTACAAAACTTAAACCATATTCAGATTTTGTCCGTTCCATTTTAAGAACCTAAAGACTAAAATACAAAGTTTTCCATTGCAAGACCCTTGCTGTGATGTCGTAGCCCCTTTTGAGACACTCGCCATAATACAGAAAGTTTGTACAACTCCAATGTACATTGTTTTCACAGCCCTAAATCCCATATGCATGTCGGAGGAATTTTTCCTCAATTTCTATGTTGTCAACAATGACCCACAGTTATAGACCAACGACCAGCAGAAAGTCAGCCTTGTTGGACGTTGTATGGTCTACACATGATATTCAGTACAGCATCATAATAATGTTTGTTTAGCTAGCGCCACATACTGGATAATGGAAGTACTGCATGATTTGCAATGTGTCATTTCCAGTGTCATTTCCAGTGTCTTTCCCTGGTTCTTTAATAGTCACCCATTATGCACTGCAGCGGTTACAGGGTCACAACAGTACCCCTATAACAGGTTGATATGTGAGGACCCATCCATTGCTGCCTGCAGTATTAATTAGTTTGACAAACATTATTTCCAGTTATGTTTGTGGTTTTAAAGATCAGTTAGCTTTACATTTTTGTTGCAGCTTAAGGAACTATTCCCGATCTCTATCTCTTCATTTGTATATATTCCATGCTCTCCCTGTCTATAGTTACACCTGCTGAAGAGAAGGAAGGTAGCGCTCCACCGTCTGTTACTAGAAACAGCCGACTAAAATACTCTGTGTGTGTCCTGTGTGTCCTGTGTGTGTTTGGGAGTCGCCTTGTGGTTGCTGAGGAGTTTCTCAGGGGAACAGTTGCCATGGAAACGGGCACCGGTCAGTATTGTGTTACCAGAGCAGTACCGCAGGCTGGGGGGGGGGGGGGAGTGATGGGCTGGTGGTGACCTCAGGGGACTAGGGGAGGGGGTTGGGGGGCAGAGAGAGAGAGAGAGAGGTTAAAGGGTCATTGAATTTGATCTGTTTGCTGCACAGCAATACTGGAACAGAGTAAGACGACTCCTGCCGCTCCTGGAATATCATGGGAACATTCGGGGAATGTGTTGAATCCTCTGGAGAAGTCTGTTGTGGAACACCAAATATAGGATTTCCACACATTTTGAACTAAAACTCAGACCTTATTTCCGTCCTGTAAGACAGGGTGTGTCAACCATTCCTGGTCTGTGACCCTGTGTTTTAATCGCTGCAGATTAACGTTTGTCCAAAATCCGATTGGATTTCCATCGGATTTTGGAATATGTTACAGAATAAAACATCTCTGACAAACGCAGAGTAAGAGTAAATACACTCGCCAGAAGGAAAAAGCTTATGTTAGGCTATCGACAAACTACATAGCTGAGAGACTCGTATTCTGCCTGATGACGTTTAGTAGTTTATTCATTCACTTGTTAGAAACTGACGTATTTAAGCAACATAGAAGCGTCAGACATTCACGGGTGGAGTATGTACTGATTATTTTATGTCGTAGAACAAAACGTAAAAAATCTCTTCAGCTTGTGTTAGCCACAGATCTTAAATCATGGCATCTGACCCAAAACTTGTTGTAAAAACAGTTGACTTGGTGACTAAGTGATAAAATGCTAACTAATCTCCGTGTTTCAGGACTCATTCGTGCACGACTATAGAAAGCACGAGATATACGATGGGGAACAAGAGCCTGTGAAAGAACTGGGCTCGAGAAAAAACAACAGACTTGTAGCATCAATAAATTCCCAGGGTCCATTTTCTGAAGTGAAAGTGTACATGTACAAGTGCTGA